GTGTGTGTGTGTATACACTTAACTATAAATACTTAATTATAAAAATGCTTTATTCCATTTAATTGCTTTTATGTTTTTTTCAGAAATCATTTTTCAGAAATCTCTGGATTCTATGTAATGATCATTGAAACACATACACCATTCCAAGTCTGTTACATCTTTGTGCACATATGTATGTTTGTGTATGTATGCTTGAGTGTGTGCTGGTATGCATGCAGGTGCATGTGGAGGTAAGAGGTATCTTCCTCAATCACTCCACATTTTTTTTCTAAGACAGTGCTTGTCACAGAACCTGGACCTTGCCAATTCAGCTGTACTAGATAAGCAGCAAGGCTCCAGGGGTCCTCCTATCTCCACCTACCTATTCTGCGGTTACAGTTATGTGCTGCCACAACCAGCTGTTTTCCATGGGTGCTAGGGGTAATTTTTGCTTAGTCTGGCTAGCCAGAAGAGCTCTAGGGGTCCGCCTGTTTCCACATTTCAGTGCTGTGGTTGTGGGCACACATAGTCATGCCCAGTTTTTATGTTAGGGTTCAGCATGTGACAATCATGTTACCTACAGATAAACATTATTTTACTTTTTTTCCTTTTTGGTGTGTGTATTTTCCTTTATTATTTTTCTTCTCTTATTTTGGCTATAGTTTCTAAGTATGATGCTATGAGTAATGAGAATGGACATCCTTACATAGTTCCTGCTCTCGTGGAGAAAGCATTTCATCTTTTATAATTATGTTAGCTGGAGACATAACGGATATGTCATTTATCAAAGCAAAATATTACTCTCTGTTGATATCTTGCTTAGGAATTCTTATATTGTTTTCCAATATTCTTTCTTTATCAATTATTCTTTTTTCTCTTTTTAAGCTATTGATATTACATTAGTTAATTCATCCTTGCATCTCCAGAATAAACCTTACTTGGTTGTAGATTTTTTAAAATGTTGTGTGTGTGTGTGTGTGTGTCTGTGTGTCTGTGTGTCTGTGTGTCTGTGTGTGTGTTGCATGTACATGTAGAAGTCAGAGGAGAACTTACAGGAGTCACATCTCTCCTTGTCAGGTTTGGCAGATTTGGCAGAAAGTGCCTTTACCCATTGAGCCATCTTGCTGGCCCTTATTTATTGGTTTTGTGTCTCTATTGCTGAAAGATGTTGGTATGCATAAAATCGCTCCAGAACTGACCTCTCCTGTTTTCTGAAACACAGAAAATAAGGAAAAGAAAGGAGCATCACATAGTCCTTCTGGACCTAAATTAGAAGTCTTTCCCTCATGCCCCTCTGTCTGCACATGACAGTCATGTCTGCATTGCGACTGCTGCCCTTCTAAACCAGTGGTGAGGGAAGAGTACAAGAGGACACTCAGCACCACTTTAATGTTTTCAATTCTATATTTTTTTAATTTACCTTTTGCTTTTCAGAATCTTCAAAATAGCTGTCCCTGTATTTTTTACAGTTGTAATCTTTACAGTGAGACAAGGTTCTGTCTTCTCTGGGTTCTTAAAACAATATTTAAAAAAGTAAACAAAGTAAAATATATAAACTAACAACAAGGGGAAGAGCACATTGTTTACTTTAAGGCGTGTTTAATAACTTTGCTATGGAGAGTGGATAAAGCAAACTGAAGCCAGTTTTCCTAGACCTAGAAACTTAGTTTCTGTTCACATTGGTACCTGGATATGTCATATATGATCTTAGCATGTTTATTAGATACAGTGCAAAAGAATGGTCAGCTCGCATCTGTAGGAAGTTTCTGTAAGCAAGCAGTCTTAGGATGGAAACGTGTAGGAGGAAAAAGCCACAGTTGTTAGTGTTTGCACACACTTCAATTATTCATAAACAATCATACTTGAACTCCTGAGAAGAGTTTTTCCACACCTCTCTTCAACTTGGCCCTTATGTAGACACTACTTTGCCATTGTTCCATGGGTCTGAAACCTTGGAGTCCTCAACATGGCTGTGCCCATATCAACAATGCACATTCACTCTAGTCTTTCTGTGCTCTTGACAGATACACCCACCTGGATCACACTCAAAACAAATAATTGGGAAATTAAACTGGATAAAGGAAATTCCTAGGCAGAGAAATCAGTGAGTAGGCTTTATAATAGAGGAACAATAATCAAGCAGTGTTTTAGAAGTAAAATTGGCAGAACTTATTTGAGTTTGATTGGGAGTAAGGAAAGAAAAAAATGAGTAACTAGAAAGTCAGATTTCTGATGTGAGCCAAGTGATTGGTTGACTAGGACAGGTAACAGATCATAGCAGAGAGGAGTTAATGGAGAAACTGATTTGGTGAACCTTTGTCAGTTCAATTAAATGAATCAACAGGCTTTTATATCAATTTACTTTCTTTCACCTTTTCATTCTGTTTCAGTATACCAAATAATACTGTAGGTGCTCAAACACTAATATCTGAGATGGCCTGCTTTCCCACCATCCACATCTCACACAACTATGACCAGCAGCTGGGTAGCACATCACAGTATCTGGTGAAGTACACTGGACATTTTGAAAATGATGAAAGGCTCTGCACTTAGCAACAGGGGTTATAAACGGTGGCCTAGAGAAACAGAAGAGCTAATTCTCAAAAGACAAATTAGGCAGAGTAGCCAGAGTTATAACTAACTTTTGTCTGTGTTCCTGGGAACACAGTCATAGCTGAGAGATGGGGATCCATCTCAAGGTAATGGTTGCCAATTCTCATGTCTACCTTTCATTGATGTTATGCCTATCTGCAATCAGAGAAAATGGATTCTTTTCATTTACCAGTTGGCTTGGAGGGCCTATCTGGGCAACCTCCTGGATAAGTGACTACGTAATTACTACAGGAACAGAATAAGGACTTTTAACTTCAGATTTTTTAGTATGAAGTAGCAGGGGTGGGAGGACATGGGCACACAACTTATCTACTTTAATTGCATTTGCTCTCGCTATTGCAATCATCCGCTAAGAATGTTCTCTGATTCTTATATTTTTCCTTGTGAGCCTAGCCTTTAATTGGCTGAGCCATCTCTCCAGCCCTGTTCTCTGATTCTTAATTGTGATAAAAGTCAGTGTTACTTGCTGTGAGGCCACAGTATCTGGAGGTACATATAAAGGACTATGTGGACAGAGCAGTAAATGTGTGGGCCATTTGAACCATATTTTTTCTCCACAATATTTATCCTACTATTTTCTGTAGAATTCCAAAATTTGCAAATCAAAAGTCAATATCTCTCAGCAGCATAGTTCCTGATTAACTAAGTACCCACATGCAGAATGAAGTCGGCCCTCCCTCACACAAGACACAAAGATTAATCCATGGAAGATCGTTGACCTAAGTGTAAGAGGGAAAATTGTAAACCTGTTAAAAATAATCAAATATATATAAACTATAGGTGCTCTTGGGTTAAGCAAATAAGCAAAAGAATGGATATGTTAGACCCTACAAGAATTAAAATATTCAGTTTTGAAAACCTGAAAACACTGTGCTAAAAGTTAGTCAAAATAAAGTGAAAAGACAATCTGACTGAATGGAATAAAATATTTAAAAACCATGTATCTTGTGATAGGAACTTTAAAAAAAAGCCTTCAATTTATAAAGTTGCGGTTAAAATGAACAGAGTCGAGGTGGGAAATGGGTCATTGGGTAAACCACTTACTACTTAAATATGAGAACCTGCATTCCAATCCCTAGAGCTCACATGAAGCCATACAGAGTATCACAGCTCTGCAATCCTGGTGCTCCTCCAGCACTAGGAGATGGCTACCAACTCAGGAAATACTCTGTGAGCTGTGCAAGTTTTTTTATGGCAGACAGTGTTCTCTAATCTCCACCATAAGCCATGGCATATCTGCCCTTCTGCACTCATATGTCTCTCTCTCTCTCTCTCTCTCTCTCTCTCTCTCTCTCTCTTTCTTTCTCTCTCTCACACACACACACAGACACACACACACATACAAAATGAACAGAGTGTAAATATACATTTTTCAAGCATTTATACAAAATAGACAAGAAGTATATGAGAGAGCATGCAACAAATTGGTCATTAGGATAATCTAATCAAGGGCAATGAGAATTAACATGGATGCACCTTAAGCATTTATTGATATACAAAGGAAATGAGGCACAAAAAAATCAAATGTTTTATGATTCTGCTTATATACCATGTCTCTAATCAGCAAGTATGCAAAGACAGAACTTGGTGATTTTCTTAGGCTAGAAATGGGAGGTAAAGTAATATGACTGCTGAGAGCTCTACATGACAGAATGACTGTGTGTGTGTGTGTGTGTGTGTGTGTGTGTGTGTGTGTGTCTGTCTGTCTGTCTGTCTGTCTGTGATGAGAGTAATGTTATCCCAATAAGGTGTTTAAAAAATAATTCTTGGACTTGTGAGATGGCCCACCTGAAGAAGATGAGTTGCACAGGACACTTGGATCTAATTCCTTGCTAGATTATGCAAGGAGAGATAAGATGGAAACAGAAATAAGGCCAGTTTGATGACATCTGGCATGATGCATGTAAATGGAACTATAGATTTTAAGAAAGTTCTATTTCATTTATTTTAATGATATACTTCAGTGTTTATCAGTGCAGATTATACAGCAAGTCACAGAGTTTCTTCTAGTTTTATAGCAGTTCTTAAAGGAAAAATTAACACTTTAAACTTAGCAAGAGAAGGGTAAGGGAGGCAACTTGGTTAGTAGGTCTGTGATTTTTAGGATTGGCATTTTGTCTTACACTATTCTGATCCTATGAGGAGTTCTGTTTCCTTGGGAAAACAAATGCCAGTTTCAGATTGATACAGAACTGGAAAACCTCCTTCAGTTTGCTATAGAGCCTGGGGACAGAAGTAGAAATGACTTGTCTAACTGTGGGCTTTGCGTGAGTAGCCAGAGCATAGGCAGTGACACGGCTCAGCATATGTTCCTGCAGTCAGCTGTGGAAGAGGCTAAAAAGAATGCAGTGCTTTGGCACTTTGAGTAGTGAACGCTCCAGTGACCCTCTGCTTCTTTCTTTTTATAGCTGACATCAACTTGGATGTATCAAAGCCTTTGAAAGCAAACTTAAGTTTTACCAAACTGGATCAAATAAATCATTTTTTAAAGAAGATAAAAAAGGCACACAGCTTTGCACAGAGCAAAGAGCCCTCCACCCTGTCAGACTCTATACTGAATAAGGATGAGCCTCCCATCTCCAAATGTTACTGTGGAAAGTTGTCTAAGCCCAAAGTTCACTGTGATGGAGTGCAGAAGACTTCACTTCAAGAAAACATGTGGAGAGCCATTTCTTTCTTTCAAAAAGTTTCTGTCCATACTACCCAAATTGTGGTCCTCATGGAAACTGTCCCACATCCTCATAAGCCGTGTGTGTTAGCATCATTATCAAACCTCAATGGAAGCCTTAGTGCCAAAGCAGCACAAAAAGTACCTGGTAAGTGACAGAAAAAGAAGAGGGTGGAATGGAGGGAGGATAAGAGGATGATAAAATATCCTTTGTTAGCATTTGAAAATACAGCATTTTAAAGACTTATGTTGTGTAGAAATAGAAGTTTTAGAGGCATTAGAGATGGGAACATTTCTAGCTTGTGACCTTATTGTAGAGATGCTGGTTTGGCTTGGCTTGGCTTGGCTTGGTTTGGTTTGGTTTGGTTTGGTTTGGTTTGGTTTGGTTTGGGGTTGCTGTCATTTTGTTTAGGTTACTTGTCTGTTTTAAGAAATCCTGTGAGCCCTGGGTATTTCCAGGTGTAAACTGCTCCTATCTACCTCTTAAGGCGCATTACTATCTTTGGAACTGTTCATTCCTAACTTCCTTTTAGATGAAATGGCCGTGGTGGAACAACAGTGAATCAAGTTTTTGAAGCTTTAGAACAGCACTTTTCACAGTGCAGTGTGTAGAACAAACACATCAGATCATCTTGAGACAGCTAGACCATTCTGGAAATGCTAGATCAACCTAGCCTACTGAATCAAAATCTCTGGGCACAGAGCCCAGGAGTCTGTACCTTGCTCAGCCTGCAGGTGATTCTAATGCAGGACATTGCATCACTGGGAATAGTTTACTTTACAAAGAAAAATTGCCATGATGGCAGATATGCTCCAGATATGACAAACTGTCAAGCCAAAGCTCAAGTCTGTGAGAACGCCACTCACACATTTTTTTCAGGCAGCAACACCTGTCCAGGGAAAGGCTGTGCTTCTGTGCACAGCCCATCAAAATGCCTGACCTGCTGAAAACTGTAGAGGGGCAAGGAGCTAACTGGTTATGATGTCTCCATTTTTCTCTTCTACTATGATGTGCTTTTCCACACTGACTCAGAAAGGGTGGGCACAAGGTTTGTGAGGAGGAAAGTCAACACAGGCAGGAAGTAACCATTTCACAGAAACTGCTACTTTGAAGCTGAGAACAGAAGTATCACTGGAGCAGCAGTCAGCCTTGTCCTTTTCCATGGCCCTGTGTGGAGGAGGGTTGTGGACTGATTGTGTGCTAGATATGTCATTCCTTAAACTGTGTACCAAAAAGTAATTAAATGACAGCTAGAGACTAATTTAGTTCTAGAGAGCCAGTTTTGAGCACAGAGATTTTTTGTTTTAACTTTTACAGTTGAGTTGTAATAATTTTAGGCCAAAACATAGATGATTTCTTTCTTCCTCACTGAAATATTTGTAACCAAGCCAGCTAAAAGCTCTTTACTTTTTTCTTTTGATGTTTTTAAAGTTAGAAATGAAAAATAGAGGCTTTGGGGGACATGAAAAATTCTCAAACCCTGGATACTATAGTGTCAAGTCCCCGGTGCCCATCCTCACACCTTTCTAAATGCTGGCCTTAGTGGTGGCAGGAAAAGGTTAAGACCAAACATGAAGAATTGTAAATACATTGTATTCAGCTGTATGCAGGACTTGCTCTTTTTTCATCCTCAGTTCCTCAACTCATTTGCTACTTCTATTTTGATCACTTTTAAAGGTATTTATCCTTCATAATTGTTTTCTTTATAATACAATTAAAAACTTATCTATTTAGCCATAAAAGTGTTTTGTTTTTTTTTTTTTTAATTTTCCCTTTTAGTCTAGGAAAACAACATAACCTTCTTTTATAACTCTGTTCTTTTATCTTGTTAAACACAAAAATAGAAATCCCCGCCTTGGCTAAAATATGCTTGGTATAGCTCTGCTCGGCAGTGTCCAGCAAACATTTTAAAATAGTTTTTTGTGTGTGTCACATTAAATCAAAACTGAATTTAGTAAATTTAATTGAAATAAATTATTATTGTGAAACTATAACAAAATTTAGTCAGCAAAATACATTGTATGCAAGTGGATAAGATTGGAGCAGGTTCTAGTTGTTACTAAAGGCTAACATCTGGGAAATCATAATCGAGAGATTAGGGCATAGCTCTTTTTGGTTTTATTTTTAGTAGTGGGAGATAAGATTTCTTTCTGGAGCGCAGGCTGCCCTGGAACTCATCTTGAAGCCAGGCTAGCCCTAAGCATGGCCTTCATACCAGAATCACTACATACTTTAAAAAATAGTTGTAACTATATTTAAAAGGAAATAATAATTTAAGCATTTAACATTAATTTCATTATGTACTTGATTGCCTTTAAATTGCATGTTTTGTAGTTTATTTGAAATACATACAAATATGTGTACTTTGATATAGATTGAGTTTGCTTGTTTGTTTTGTTTTGTTTTTGGCTTGTTTTGAGACAGGATCTGGCTGTCTTGAAAATCGCTATGTAGACCAGGGTGGCCTCAAATTTAGAGATCTGCCTGCCTCTGTTTCCTAGGTGCTGGGTTTAAAGGCATGCCATCAACCTGACAATTTGGTACGGTTTTGATAAGTGGTAAAAAAATTTCAAAGTCTCATATATACATATACACACACAGAGCCTACAAGTAGTCATATTTCTTTTTGTACTTTTCAAGTAGTGGTATTCTGTGTTCAACCCAGTTTTTATGGTATATCTTTGAGCTCAAAGGAATTAATGTCAGATTTTTATAGGTTGACTCTAATGCAGAAATACTTAACTGAGTCTTTGATTTTACAGTTTCTGTAACTATTGTGAGCATCTGTAGCAGCTGCACTTCTCAAATTATTTGCTGAACCAAATTGAGCACAGTGACAAAGCAGTCATCTCAGATGCACTATTAAACAGTGAGAGGAGCGGCGCAGCACATAGTACAGCATCTGCTGTGCACATGGCACCCTATAGAAGGACGCAAGAGAAAATAATTGTCAAAATTTTCATTAAAACCTCAACAACTCACACTTGTTTATCTGAATCTGCATAGCTCCCCAATAAGACAACACACTTGGGGTTTCTTTGGATCTTGCTCACTTTCTCTTTGATCCTTTTTGATGTGCTGACTTTAATAAACACAGTCAAAAACACTGTGCAAGAACATCATGGAAAAAACTACAAAGGACCAGTCCCAGCAGCAGAGCCCTGCTAATCCCTAACTTACGCAGGCTATTTTTGGAGAAATATTTTTTAACACTCTTTATGTGACAATGTTATATAAACAAGGAAAAGCAGTCCTTTCCACATGAATTTTAATTTAAGAGCTGAAATAAATTTGTAATTCTAGAGGAATCCTATGTACTAAGTAATTCTTAGAGAAACACCATTGGGAATGTGCTGCAGGCATGTTCCCTCACTTGTCAAGGGGATAAAAAAATGAGTTTGCCTGATAATTATATTTGCTTATCATCTAAGCTGTTAGAAACTTATGGAAAGTACACGGGGAAAGGGAATAATAAAAGCATGGAAGAAAAAATTATATTTTCCCCCAAATATTGTCAATATATTTGTGTAATCTGAAGGGATTTTATATTCATTTACTCATTTTAAAAATGAAACAGTACAAATTAATTACCGAGCTTGTTAAAAGAATTTCCATCTTTATTTTATAGAACAAAGTTTCTGCTTAAGATAGATAGCAGATAGATAAATAAAGTAAGTCCTCCGGTTCTCCTCATACCCCTGTACTGGTTTGGAGTCCTGCTCTCTGAGTGTCTCTAGGGTCTTGAGTCTTTCTGTCACTCTGCTCTGCGGATGCCTGTGCAGCCATGACGCATGGAAGTCACTCTCCTCTCTGCTAGAATACGCATATTCTCCGTGTGTGTTGATGAAGTCGCCCTCACTTTCTGACTGTAGGTGTGATCCTTGTATTCTTTTTAGTTGGTATGTTATATCACAGGAAATCTCACGAGGGCTTTACCAGTAACAAGAATCTCAGTTAGAAATTATATCTTATACTCTGAAATATTTGAAGGCCAGTGGTATTTTCTTTGTTATCTATTGAATCTAACTCACTGTAGAATATGTTCTTTAAAAAGTTGCCGCTTCCACCAACATAGGCACACAGTGCGGTCCCTTTTTGCTGTTTGAAGCATGTCATTTTGGAGACACGCAAAGTATTAGTTATAAATTCTGAACTGGCAGTAAGTCTCTTTCCACAGGAGGGTGGGGATTGAGCTCACACTCTAGCTCCCCTGTCAGAGTAATTTATGGCTCTATTAGGATGGCACGCCTTAGATTTCTGCAAACAATAGTACGCAGCTGAGAGCTGCAAAATCCCTGTACATGAGGTTGCCTTGCTCTTTCTCAGGGGCAATTAAATTGCCAGTCTCCATATAGACAAGAAAAGGGAAACACGACATGAAGAGCTTGATGACACAAAGGAAGAGAACCTGGTGAAGACATTTGGTTGGCATTTACAACTGGAAAACCAGTGACATGATTCTGACCACTGACATATTGAGGACTTTTCCCCCATGCAGGAAGCTGTGAGTTGAGCTCATTGTCAAAGGAATAGTGGTTTAAATCACTCTCCCTGCCCTTGCTGTACTTAGTTTTGTATATAAACAAAATAGGATAGAGAAAGGAACTGTAACCATTCTTTTCCATGTAGAATGCCTCCCATCGTGTCCAACACATTCAGGACCAGCAAAATATTGACCTAACACTCTCTTCATGCACTGAAAGTGAAACCAGGTCATTAATTGATACAAAGTGGACTCCCACTTTTTCTGCTGTGCTTAGATATCCTAAAGGGAGTCTGTAAGGCATCTTAATAGCCTTTGGATGTCTCATAGAGGCTCATTAGCCTGATGGAATAAAGCATTAAATTAGGTGTGACTACCTCAAATCCTGTGTTGGAGTAGTGAGCCATTTTTAGCACTCCAAAGACCCTTGCTAGTTTCAGAAAGAAGCGCATCTTTTTCCAGAGAAACTAATTTCTCACAAGTAAAAGACAGAGGACAAACTAAAAATCCACTGAGAATGCAAGCATAAATACAGCTACTTAACAGCTATACAAACCACCAAAAATCCTTAATGAATACTGGGTATGGGCATCAAGGTCCTGTCATTTTTGATACTCTGTCCTGAGTAGCATACACCCAACACTCAAGAAAAAGTGGAATGTTC